AGGAACATCCACCCTTAAGGTCATCATCTTGGCCTTGGCAAGGAGCTTCTCCGCACCTTGGACGTCATTGATCAACCCCATGGTGGAAGGAGTCCATCACTTGATAAATTAATATTATATTTATTTGTGTGACATGTTATCTCTTCATTGATTTATTTACTTTATACATGAGTAAAATATGGGTTGTGGGTGTGGATATGGGTACATAGGTATCCAATAGGTACAGGAGTGAGGATTAAAATTACTACATATGCAAGTATATAGGGTTGGGTATGGGTATTGTTGTTAAACACGAGTATGGGACTAGGTATGTGTATTGTTGTTAAACATGAGTATGGGGTCGGGTACTATAAGAAGCTACCTATTGCCATCCCTAGACAAAATGAGGAACAAAATAACATACTTAATGGATATTGCCAAAAGGTTGTGGACAATGATGGAATCACAAGAAAACCTCGTTAAAAGATGCTTGGAGCATTGTCAGTGTTGTTTGGAGAAGGTTCACGATAGGCTTTGGGGAAGGAAATGAGAGTAAGGATGAGGGTGGTGATTAGAATAAAATAGAACAATGCTTAATTTTTTCCCCTTTAGATTTCTAAAACGTAATGCCACCAACCATAATCTTCAAGAACATGAGTTTATTGATCACAACATAAGAAACAAAAATCAAAGAACTATTATTTAGAATTATTTTTAATGTAAGATGTTATGATAATGATGAATTGCAAGAATCTTAAAGAGAGTAAGGAAGATAGAACGAATACTAAGATTTTATACTGATATAAATTCCAAGGCTCATAAAGAAGTTGCGGTGGTGGTTGATTGAATAAGTCTTTAAAAACTTTCAAGAATTTAAAACTTTAGCACAACGAAAAATTATTAACCCTTTTGATTATGATTTTAGAAATTACTTTGAAAATAAGTTGATGGAAAGCTACTTCCCAAGGATACTTTTGGAAGAGATAAGACAAAGAAGGATGAAGGATGATAAAGTTGGTTTGAAGAATTATAGGATATTTACCCTTATTTTGTAAGGTACCCTACCTTTGGAGGCTTATCCTATCTCAAAGGACTCCTATTGTTGTTATACATATTTCTTACTTGTAATTCATTTTATTAGTGATTGTATTAAAATATTTTTGGCCTTGTATTTTGGGTTAAGTAGTATAGGTAATTTTGTCCATGTATTAATTGAGGGAGGGTGTAGTTAGTAGATTAGGGAGATTTAACTAGTAAAGTCTTGGTAGACTTATTTGGGCTTAATGGCCCAAATCATTTTATGGCCCATAGGTTTGGATGTTCACTTGCTCATGCAATTGGTTTGGACGTCCAAACCATGCCAAGCTTGTTATCCAACCTACAAATTAAGTCACATGACTTTGATAATGACATCTCAAAAAACTTACTAAAAGTAATCATTAGTTTAGTAGTTGTAATGATTAGGTTAGGTAGTTGGAGTTAATTTAAGCTAACCTAGGTTATTCTTAAACTAGGATTAGATAACCTTGCTCCATAAGCTTCTAAAAAACTAACTAGAATTGTAGACATTTAACTAGAGTTAGTTAACTTAAGTACAAGATAACTAACCATGGTTATACTTAACCATGGTTAGTGTAGCTTGCACCATAAGCCAACTAAACTCTATATATTGTAGTTTTAACCCATTTTATAGGAACTTTTGAGCCTATTATTGAGATTTCCAAGTTTATTCCCTTACATTCTCTTTCTCAAAAGCTTAAATTTTCTTTTTGATTTGCTTCTAATTCTCTTATCCTTTTCCTAAGAGTGTGGTGAGATTTAAAGTGGTTTATCTTCTTCCTTGAAGTGACACCACTTGAACCACTTGAAGAGAGTTCTTCACCTTTGAAGGTGAGTCACAAGTTCTTTATCTCCATTGGAGAGCTTATTGAAGCTTAAGAAGTTTCAAGAAGGAAAAGATCTAGGAAGAGACTTGAAGGAGAAGCTTCATCAATCAAGTCTCTCTCCTTGAGGTTTCCATCATTTGGTATCAGAGTAAGGTATTTTTGGTAAAGACTTTCCTTAAGCTTCCTTTCAATTTTGATCAGTTAAATCATCTTGTTTAGTGTTTTAATTTTTTCTATATGTTTGCTCCTTGATTTTATTGTGTTTGTATAGATTAGAATTGTTCTTGTGTAACAATTATAAATCTATAGAACAATTCACTTTATCTTGAATTTTTTTTTGATTCATACATCAATCTATATGGATCAATCTTGTTGTGTGCCTTTAGGTTAATCGTGTTCTTGCATTTTAATGTTCTAGGATTCCTTATATATTGTTTGAAACTCCAAAATATTTGGTCAAAACAAAACTCCAAAGAAAAACAAGTAGTTGTATGCATTTTTCCTTTCTTAATCTCCTAGTTTTGTCTTATAAGTCTTATGTAGTTGCTTAACTTGTCATTACTTCTCTTTTGTGCCTTTTTTCTTTTTGAAATATAAACAATGCTCTCCTTTTTGGTTTGGTTATATTGCTGGCTGCACATCTTAATACTCTTAGAAGTGCTCACTGAATGATTCCTATGCATGTTATTAGATCTAACATGTTCTAGTGTCATATTCTATGAACTTCACTTGCTAACTCTTAGAAATTTAAGGCCAAAAATTCCTTGAGTCTTTTTTTTTTTTAATCTTTTTTTGAGATATACAATTAGACTAGGAAGTGTAAAACGAAAATTGAAAAAAAAGTGTACAAAAAAAGAGAACAAACTAGAAGCAAAACTAGTCATTAGTAACGTAGAAACTTATCAAGTACACTTACACTTCCTATACCTATTTTCCACCACTTGTAAGCCTTTTTAATTCATTGTTAGGCTTCTATTTTGGTGCTCAGATTTAGTGTAAAAAAATGAAAGAAAGAGCAAAGAAGGCAACAAAAGAAAAAGAAAACAATAGCAAAAACTAGAAAAAAAAAGTGTAAAATAAAGAAAGTTTAGAGCACTTAGCCTTGTTATTTTTTGCGTATTTTTCCTTTGGTGTACTCTTTGTCCAGTGGCTGGAAACAAACTAAAATCTCTCAAAATTTTAGAATAAATTTTGTATCATTTTGTAATCAACTCTAGTGTCATTTATAAGACTATTCCTTTTTAAGCTAGTGTTGAAATTGTTCTTTATTTTCTTGTTTTGTGTCTTTTAATATTCTTTTAGTTTGTCACATAAATTCCTACTTGAGTTTAGCCTCTTCTAGTTGTGCTTTTTTAGTCTTGATTTTTATTGGCTTCCACTCTCTCTTGTTGGTTGTTAATTCTCAGTGGTGATAGGTTTATTTTCAAATGCTCACACTTCGAAAGAAATTGATAATTAAGACATATTGGAACCACTTCAAAGGGGGTTGCAACTTTTGGGAGATTGAGGTACCTAAAATCTTGAGTGAAACACTTTGGCGAGGTTAATTTTTGTGTTCATTTTATAGGGAAAATTTCAAAACATGAAATAGTAACAAAATTATGGCTTTAAACCTAGTACTTCTGATTTACATAAAGAGGAGTATCTAAGGCAGATTTTATAAAGAAACTCCATGAGAAGGTTAAAGACCAAATAGAAAAACAAACTCAAAAATATATTGAATACAACAAAGGGAGAAAGAAAATTATATTTGAGGAAGGAGACTTAGTTTTAATTCATTTAAGGAAAGATATATTTTCTACAAAAAGGAAGTCCAAACTAAGTCCAAGAGGAGATGACCTATTCCAAGTCCTCCAAAGGATCAATGATAATGCATATAAGTTAGATTTACCTTCTGATTATGATGTTAGCAATACATTTAATGTTTGTGATCTTATGCCTTATGCAGGTGATGCTGACACTATTATGAGGAGTTAGATCTGAGGACAAATCCTTTTCAAGAAGGAGGGTATGATGAAGGACCATCAGAGGAGAATTCACACATGAAGACCATTAGGCCTTTAAGGTGGCTAAAGGAGGCTTCTACAGAGGAGGTGTTTCTCAGACCAATGCTCTACATGAGCACTGAGTATGATTCCTCTTATTAGTCTCTTAGTCTCCATTGTATATACATTGTATAATATTTGTACATAGTAGATACTTGTATAGGTGTATTTTTTGCATTTGTATTTGTGAGACATCTTTTTTTTATTTTTATTTTTTATTTCTTTGTAGGTCATATTCTTAGGATTCTAGAGTATGTTTTCCTCCATTTTTTTCCAAGGATTGATTTAGCTAGGTCTCACAACCATTTGGTGAACCTAAATAAACCAATTCCAAGAGTTTTGGATTGGATTGGATGTAGAAAACAAGTCTTTGCCGCCTAGCTCCTTCAATGGCTAAGGTCTACAAAACTTTTCCTACATATTTTGTTCTTGTTAGCAAGGGAGACAAGGTGACACTTAACACCTCTTGATTGGCTCTTCTAGATCTAAGTGTATCCTCCTTGTCTCCTCTAAGAGACAAGGTGACACTTGGCAATCTAGGATTGGCTAATCTAGATCTAAGTGTTCCTACCTTGTCCTTACCTTGTCTAACTTGCTCTACAAGCTACTCCACCTCTATATATAGGTTTCTTCCTTTGTAAAACTCACTTTAGATCATATATTTGAGAATTGTCATTTCTACTTCTGAATTTTCTTTCCCAAAAGTCTTAATACCTCTTTGATTTAGATCCAATTCTTTTATCCTCTTCCTAAAGAGTGTGGTGAGGATTTAAGTAGTTCATCTTCTTCCAAGGAATGACATCAGTTGAAGAGTGTTCTTCACCTCCTAAGGTGAAAATCGAGGCCTCTACCTCTATTAGAGGTCTTGAATAAGCTTAAGAAGTGTCAAGAAGTCAAGGTCTAGGGAGGAACTTGAAGGATCACTACTAGAAAGACATTATTCTACATCATCAATTTTTCATCGATTTTGTCAAAAACGATGTAAAATTTAAAATGCGGTGGCAATGTTGTAATTAAGTATGAAATTTTAGCATATTTACATCGGTTTTGCATATTTACATCGGTTTTGAGTGTGACAATGAGTTCTATTCTACGTTAGGCTTTGGGTAACCAATGTAGTATTATCTTCATAAGAGGGGAAAAAATCGCGCGTTCTTCTCTCACACAAATCACGCTTTCTCCTCCCATTCTTCTCTCGTAAAACAAGCAGGCACCGAAACCCAAACCCTATTCTTCACATGTTCAAATCATTCTTCTCAAGCTCAAGAGCCATTCTCCTCACATCTAAACCCTATTCAAAGCCCCATTACTTGTTTGTGGTAAAGTCGATTGAAAAAGTGAAGCAATCACGTGGAAGACGAAGCACCCTCCTTCCAAGTCGCACTGCCGCTACACTATCATTGTCCTCCCTGGCGTTGGCATTAGCCCCGAAGTCATCTCTATCGCCAAAGACGTTCTTTTCCTTGCCGGTTCCTTCGAAGGTAACCCTTTCTCTCTTGGTTTTTTCATAATCACAACATTTTCATTTTCTATTGAGTGTTTGCTGAACTAGGGATCAAATACGAGTTCCAAGAGATGCTTTTGGGTGGAGCTGCATTGGATGCCATGAGAGTTCCATTGCTTGGGGAAACCCTTTCTGCCGCTAAGCAATCCGATGTTGTTTTACTTGGTGCCATTGGAGGGTGGCTACTTTACTTTCATTCTTTACCACTTTAGAATTTTTTTTAACTTTGTGCAAACTTAGATATACTATCCTAAGTAGAGATGGTGTTGTTTTAAAATTATCCAGTATAGCTATTAGTTTTTCTGTTTATGTTCTTTACGGCAGTCACAAAGGTGAAATTTTATACTTGTGTGAAATTTAGGAATAGTTTATTCAGAAGGTTAATTATGCTCCCTAAATATGGTTTTGTAAATATTAGTTTTCTATTTCTTTCAAATGTAGGCCTGATGATTCTACTGCTGTGGTTTGTCTTTCTTGTGACAATCTTTCTCTGGAATTGCATCCTCAACAGGTGGGCGCTTGTTGGTTATAACTATATAGTAGCCTAAACTATTTAAGTTTACATATAGAATTTTGCATGTCCAGTGCCCAGCTATGATATTATGCGTGCAATTTATATTTGAAACTCACTTAATTACTTTTGGCCCATGTCAAAATATGATTACTATTGTGAAGCTGGGAATTAAAAATCATTTATATGAATGTGAAATTGGTTGGATGGGAAGAGATATGAAACTGATCTACCTTAAGCAGTGTAATGTTCTATTTTTGAAAAACATTCGCATCAATCCCTAATTCAAAACTAATCATTACTCCTAGGTTAGGATACATTGAATCCGATCTCTCAAATGTAATCCAACCAAAAGAAACTGCAAAACATGAAGCAACATTGCCACAATAAGCAACAATCCAATGAACACCACCCATCTTAGTAGTCAATAGGCAAAAAGTAGTCCAACTTTTTATTATAATTGGAATAATTGTCATTTTTTAAATAATTTAAAGTTGAAAGTACAAACTCATTTTTTGTCCCAGATGATTTTCCATGATTTGTTGCAAATAGCAGTTCAGTTTCCTGTCTTTAGTGCCTAACAGACCATTCTGGTTAATTATATTATATGCCCAATTTTTTTTTGCTCTGCACTATCATAATACGTCATTGGTATAAACTATTTTTCTCTGGAATAATTGCTATTGGAAGTTGTATTTATAGTGGCATGATGTGATATGTCTTGTGGTATAAGCTAACTTATCTTGCTTGAGTAATGGTTGCCTAGTGTAAGAACTATTTTTCATTGAGAGAATATACACAATAATGCCTTTCCATGACTGCATTTGCAAAGTAAAATGTCATTTCATGAAACTAGTTAATTTCTTTAATAAATTGATTCTTGCTCTTTGGTTACAATTTCTTTAATCTTTAATTTGTTTTTGGGTTGCTAACACATATTGTGCTTCAATTCAATGTCTTATTTGTTTGTAAAAAGAAATTTGTTTTGGAGTATAGGATGAAAATTTGTCTTCTGGATGATGGAATTAATTATAGCTATATCAAGTCATTAACCATGAGAATAGATTCCAGTAACAATTGTAAGAAAAATTAGTTGATAAATTGTTCATACTGAGATTGTAATGAATATATCATCTTAACTAACCTACCATTGTTACCTTAGTTTTCTAATTTTCAGTTTCAGAATTTTTGCTTCCAATGTTAATTAGCTTTTGCACTACGCTTGTAATGTTCCAAAATTTTCAAGATAATGTTTAATTATATTATTATAATTTTTTTAATTTATTTTTAATATTTTAATTATACTATTAGTTTTTAAATCTTCTTCAAATATGTATCATTTCGAGTGATATGTTGGACTCATGATTATCATAACAGTACTAAATACTAACTTAATTAAAACTTAAAGAAGTTTGTGATTGAAGTGCACATTGTTTTCTAGTTTTATATAGTAATGAGTGAATATTAAAATCCTCAAAACAGGAACCAATGCTTTCACCATGTGATGAGAGGTTCTAGGACTAGGAGGGACAATTAGCTTGTTTGGATTAGTTTACTTTAAAGGTAGAAAATGTTATTAACTTTTGCAAGAATTTTTTGAAAATAACAAGAGTAAATATGGATCTTCTGATTATGTTTTTGTTCAAAGTTGAAACCATTTTCCCTCTGACTATAAGAGATTTATAAAGTAACATGCCCGTCCCTTGATTCTCTTCACTTGAAAAGAATCCTTGCTTATTAACAGGTGCATTTCTAATTTCTAGTCTTTTGTACAATTAACACCAGCGTTGAAACCATTTTGTATTAATTTCTAATTTTTATTATTTTGGATTTCCATTTCATTTTTATTGTTATGTTGTTGTTAGGTGTCATCAATATTTATCCGCTTCATTAAAATTTATACATAAGCATGTATATTATAATTTTTTTGTGTGTTTTTTGTTATTGTAATTTGGTGGCCTTGTTAATATTGATGCACAATATTTGTCCACTATATATAGATAAAAAAAAATCTGTCTAAGATTTATATATATGTTCATTACAGGCACTCAAAAAGAATCTTAAAACAAACATGATTTTTTTTAAAAAAAAATGTAATCTACATCAGTTTTCTGAAGAACTGATGTAAATTTATGCATAAATCTACATCGATTTTCTTGAGAATCGATGTAGATTTATGTATAAATCTACATCGGTTCTTAGGAAAATCGATGTAGGATATGCATAATCTACATCGGTTCTAAAACTGATGTAGAAGTATACATTTTCTAAGTCGCTCTATTCTACATCGGTTTTAGAACCGATGTAGATGACTTTGCAGAACTGATGTAGATAATACATCCTGTAGTAGTGGATACACCAAGCTAATCCAGATTCTCTAGAAGTTTCCATCATTTCTAGTGCTATGCCCTCCATCTTCAACACACTCTCTACTCGATGTAGGATCTACCATTATTTATCTCTTTTCTCTATTACTTTTCATATCTTTTTGCCTAGTAACATTATTTTTCATTATAAAAAAATTGTTTATATGCCTTTATTTGATAAACTAGGTTCATCTACTCCACCTTTGACTTCTACCCTTGCAACATAAAATGACAGGAACAACCTCCTTGTTGGTCTTTTCAAAACTCTTCGATATGATTACCTAAAGCAAGCATGCGTTGAAAGGAAATTCCATAAGCTACTTAGTCGTCTGCACATTGACTTAAGCTCTGATGAGAAATAAGAATAACTTTAGGGGGAGACGCACTTTTTGCATAGTCTTTTTGCTTGTGCCAAAAAGGGGAGTAGATTGTTGATTTTGAATTTTTTTTTTGAATGATTTCTTTTTACTATTTTATACAATATGCTATGATATATTTGTTACTATGACTACATTTTTTTCTCAATGCACATATAATGCCTTTCAGATCATGCATGTTTTCAGGAGGAGTTCCATATGCATTTTATCTCATAATTATGTATGCTTTGGTATGAATATTCTAAATAAGCATACTCTAATATAAACTAGTAATGCTTTGACAAATAGGCTTTGCCATGATAATTTATTATATACTTTGAACATAGGATATCATATGCAACAGAGACTCTAATACATGATCTAATAAATACATTAGGCTTTAAAATGCATCACAGACCTTGATATAAATGATAGATATGCTCCAATTGGCATCTAAGGCTCTGATATACAATGTATGCTCTAATGCGAACAAGCCGATGTGATCACTCTGATAATTTCTAAAATGAATAAGCATACCAATATGCATATTTGTTTATTCATTAATAATGCTCTAAAATGTCTAATAAGATCAAATGAATACACAAATATACATGTCCTAGATGAATGTATACATAAAATTGAATTTCTTATCTGATGTTATACACAATGTCTCGTAGAAGTGTTTTTATACTACTTTGATAATTTTTAAAACGCTTCCACTTCTTAAAAAAAAAATTATTAAATAATTTTCTTCGTCTAAGTCATCTTTGAAAAAATCACTTCATCTCGATCAACAAAATTATTTTCTAAGACAAGAAAAACGTAAATTTTTGACAGATTTAATCCATCGGTAAAAAGGAATATTTGTCGGAAAGAGAGAATTTTCGACGGATGCAAATTCGTTAGAAAAAAGGGCGTTAAAAAAAAATGTTGTAAACAATTTAATTTGTCAAAAATTTCTAATGGATGATTCTGTGGTAAATATCTGTTGGTAATTATCGATAGATATTCTGTCAAAAAATTTGTCGATATTGTTTGAAAATCTTTATCTGATTCTGATAGATAAATCTGTCGACAAATTTCTGTTTAATTTTAATAAATTTATTAATGTAACACCCCTCATATTTGATCTCTTATAGACTCCATTTCACAACAGTTTACACGATAACATCTCACACAACTTCTCGACCCTTTGTGGGTAACCCTTTTTGAGATAACCATCCACTTTTAGGATCAACGACTGATCCGACAAACCAACACAAGACTTTTCAACGTGCTTTGTCCTTACTCGACTAGGAAATTTCCAAAAGGTAACGCATCCCTAAATTCTCCAAGCCAAGTCAAACATGCTTAATTGTAGAGTTCTAATGAGATTAGCTACTGAAAAGTAGATGCACCTTATTAGTATAGGTAGTACAAATTAATTTCTTTATACCATCCTCAACTATACAATCTCATATTTATACAATCTTTGGATCCCTCTCATTTTGATGTGTTCGGGCTATTATAAAATATAATAATATATATAATAATTATATTATATTTAATTAATCTTTATTTGTGTATATACTTACATTTATAATTAACAATCTACTTATTTCTATTTAAAATTATATTTGAATATTAAGGTTAAAATAATTTTGTTATCTTCTATATGCGATTAATTTGATCATTATTTTATTTTTTAATCTTAATATAAATTAAAAAGTTATATATTAAATATGAACAAGAGTATTTCGAAGGATTTTTTTAAATTTATTTATCTAATTAATTTCTTTTATTTATCATATTTATTTATAAATTAAATTTTAAAATTTTATATAAATTATTAATTAATTTAATATATTTATTTATCTGAAATCTAAAATATAAAATTCAAAAAAATGTATTTATCCTTGTTTTATTTTCTAATTATCAATCATTAATAAAATAATAATCTAAAATCTTAACTAATTATATCATAATATTTTCATATCAAATTTAAAACCAAATATTTGTTATTAAAAAATATCAAGATCATATAATAAATTGTCAATAAGATTCTAGTTAAATAATTTAAACTAATTAATTTTTAACTATATTTTTATCAAATAATTTTTTCAAGAGCTAATCAATTTTTCTCTATATTAATTATTAGTAAAATTTAAAAACTTTTAATTTAACAATTAGATCGATGAAATTCAACATGCACTATAAGTTATTGAGCGGAATAACTTTATCAAGAGGTACTTTGTGAGTCATTTGATTCTTCCTCCTCATCTCTCTCTCTCTCTCTCTCTCTCTCTCTCTCTCTATATATATATATATATATATATATATATATATATAATTTACTAGTCTTTTATAGGTAACAATTTATTAGAATATATATATATATATTTAAAATTTTATTGATCTTTTCTAATATATGATTGTCAATTTTAATCATCTTCATTGTTATCAAACGAAATATTAAACATTTTCGATGGATGCAATTTTCTATAGAATATTAAATATTTTTGACAGATCAAATTTTCGACGGAATATTAACTATTTTTTACGGATATTATATCAAAAATCTCTTGTCGGAAACGATGAAATTTTTGACAAACCATTATCCGTTGGAAACATTCCATCGGAAAATTTTAACTTAAGTATTTGTCAAAAATTTCTGTTAGAAATTCTTACATTTTCAAAAAATATAAATCCTTCAAAAATATTTCGTCGGTAATATAAATTTTCTTACAATTTTTTTTCTGTCGAAAATATAAATTTGCCAACAAATTTGTATCTGTCATAAATTATTTGTCCATAATTTATATTTTTCTTATAGTGTGTATACAAGAAGCAAGGATAGGTTGATCCCTAAAATCATGGAGAAAGTTAGTAAAAGTTGATGTAGAACTTGGTCTTCATTGACACACGCCATATAATGTGCATTTGGTTTCTTAAAATTGATAAGTAGCCCACTTGATCAAATAAGAAGTGACAATTTGGTGAAATATAATTAATTTCTCAAAATAAAAATTAATCTGCATTTTAGTTCAGCATAAATGCATTGCATGCACATGGCATGGCACAAGGGTATACAGAGGGGTAGGAATTTTTCAAAAAAAAAAATGGCACGTGGCCTGAACGGCCGTTCCCAAACTTGACTAAAATGGCCATTCCATGCCTCCTAGAGGCCTATATAAGGGGGACTCCTCCCCCATTCTAATTCACTCTAAATTTCCCATTTCTCTGCTTTCTCCCTTGCTTTCTCCCTTGCTTTCTCCCTTGCTTTCTCTACATATTTTTCTACTTTTCGTGATCTTTCGCTCCCCAAAATGAGTTAAGGAAGAAGAGTTGGCAAACATGCTTGAGTCCCCCCTACTACCCCTCCAACGGTCATGAGTGACAGGATCCGTTAAAGGCATCAACACATAGAGACTTTTGAGGTCGCTCCCATGAGGGTACTTCAGTGAAGCATCCTAGAACTGGTAGGACTCTGGGATAGGGTCCAATAGTTCCTAACCGGCATTGGTTGGGAGTTCCTTTTGAGTATATCTAGGCCAACACGAGGCCATGAAAGAGTTCTTAGCATCTTTAGAACAACATTCTTCAAGGTCCCCTTATGGCCCACGCGTTCGCATGGTGTCCTTCTGGATGAATGGGAACCACTGGTCCATGACCCTAACAAACTTCAACCAGTTCATTAGTTTGCGCTTTAACTCTAGAGATTATCAGGATGCCATCTTGGCTAGGCCACCAGAGCTGTCAGTGAATGCCATGTGGTAGGAGCTCACAGGAGATGTCGTCATGCCAAGGATAGCCAAGGCCTCGAGTCTTAGGGATGTTGGAATATAAATTGATTTTGTATGTTGGGCTTAAAAGATAAAAGCCCAATATTAGCAAAGGCCCAAATAAAATTCACTAAGGTATTCAACCTTAGTTTTACAAGAATGTGTTTAGAGTGTGTATGTAACTCTCACAGAGAGGATAAGGTAGTTTCTACACTCACAAAGATAAATTATCTTAGTTTTAAACGGATATTCAATTTGAACAAGAAGAAAGATTGACTTGACGCTTGTTTTTGCTTATTGCGTGTTACTTCTCTCTTTTTTTTTTGTTTTCTTCTCAGGTCTTGTTATTTATAGCCTGTTCAGCCCGCGGCTGAAGCAGAGAACCGCACATCTTCCCTCGAGCAAGGAGAGGGTCTCGGAGCACATAGAGGAGCAGTCCGTTTATAAGGACTTTCTGAGGGATCGCTTTCAGCTGGATCGAGCTCTCATGCTGATCGGAGGAATGCCAATCTCTCTTTCTTTTCTGAGAAAGCACTCTTTTTCTCTTTTTTGCAAAGTCGTCTTATGATTCCGAATTCCCTTCTTGAAGGTTGCGTCATCAGAGAAGGTCCTTGTTCTGTTCTGGCAGTCAGAGTGATGGCTCCTCATCCTCGACAGAGCAATGTTAGGTTTCTGAGACAGTTGAAGAAGAACCCCAAGTCTCAGGTGATGTAGATAATCAGTCCAAAGATAGAAGGTGATCCTAATTACATTGAACCAACCAATGGTTATAGTTAGACTTATGGAGAAGGCTATTATGCTTCTTCACTGCCATCCAGATGGATATGCTAAAGCAAAGGGTGCAGGAACATCAGATACAAAGGTAGAGACTATAAGTAAAGAATCGGATAGGGTAAACAAAGGCAAGACAAAGGCATAGAGCTGACTGAGTCAAAGATTCACAGGAGGTCCTCGCTATGATTAGTTTACCCCGCCTGCACTTCAGAATAAATCGGGATAGCGAGCCTCCCAAGATCGTTTCTAAAGCAAAGATATAAGTGATTTCATCAAAAAATGCTATTTCCAACCTCGGATTTAGATGCTTACTTTTCTGAGTAAGAGAAAGAATGGCATTGAGAAGCTGCTAACACCGGTTAGGCCTTTCCGTAGTCCCATAATTCTCATGAAGGGGATGACCCTGAGGAAGAAGCCGAGGGCATACCCAGAGAAAGGAAGCATGCTATAATTAGGGGATCACCTATCGATCGGTGGGAAGCCAGCCAACCCCTCTCCTTTTAGAATGTCGAGCTACTTCATACCTTGTTCTATCAACAACACGCTACTTCGTTCCTCTCCTTATCAGTCGAGTATCTCCGCTCCTTACTCTAACAAGTATGCTTCTAAACTCCAAGCTCTAAAGAACCTGCAATTAAACATACCTCTC